GGGGGTGGATGCATGGACCACCCGAATAGGTAAAGGGGCCTTTGGCTTTTCTTGCCGGGGGGTGCGGTGCCCCCACAAATAGAATCAAATTCTGTGGGAAACACTGAATGTCCATTCATGAGAAATGTTTAATCCGTGAGCATTTGTTTAAAGGGGCCCTATGATGCTCATTTTCAGGTTTACTTTGTATTTCTTGCCTCTACCGTGACATGTTCATGCTTTAATGTTCAAAAAGGACTTTATTTTTCTCATACAACACCTCTTTTCACCCTCTGTCTGAAACCAGAGCCCAGTCTGCTCTGATTGGTTAGCTGGCCGGCTCTGTTGTGATTGGTCAACCGCTTAGAGATGTCCCGGCCCTTAGCCGTACACGTACAATGTGTTGGAACCCATGCCAATAGAAGCTCGAGTTCTACGTTGTGATCTCACTATGTTGCAGAAGCAAAAATGACGTGATGAAGACAAATCACTTTTATGCCAACACTCGCTGTAGAGCCAATCTGTATCATGACCTCTGTATGTGTGAGCTTTTTACACTCTGATACAGCCCACTCTTTCATTTCAACGGTTTGTAGCTGAGAGCCTGATGTGTTTTACCAGCATGCGAATGGTGATAAAAAATACGTCATCTTTTGGCAACAATGCACCATGCTTCAAATAGATTTTGCCGTTGCATGGCAACAGAAGGACACGGGGAAAATGCCGTCAGCTTAAAGCAATGTTCAGTAGGGAGGGTGTTTTTTGGATGTCAGGTCAAACGGCTTTTTTTGGCATGCATTGTTTGTCCATTAGCTCACCCTCACTGTGTATGTCGGTAAGTGTTTGGCGTCACTTTCTAAACAATACAGATCAGGCAAAACAAGCTACCTATGAACTCAAAACATATCTCGATTTGAATCCAACATAAAACAGTTTGTACCTTTTTGAATTTTCTTGGTCAACCTGCTTTTTAGTGGTACAGAAAGTTCCCTCAGTACTAAAGTATCTAAAATAGCTAGACAAAACCTATAAAACACCTATTTTCTTTGGTTTCATCATCCTTTCATGTCAATTCCTCTGTTCTACTCCTACTCTAGGTCAGTTTATGTAACAGGTGAGGTGGAAAACAAGAACGTTTTTATCGGTTCATTCTCTGGATCATTTCCGCTCTCCAGCTCATAGGCCACTTTGCATCTTCAGTTTCTGCCTGTTACACGGAGCACACATTCTACTGGGTGCATGTGCTGACTGCAGGAAGTTGACCTCTTTCCTTTTTATACATGTTAGAAGCTGCAGCTGCATTCCTCACATCAACCTCAGCGACAGGCTCTTTCTCTCCTCGTCCCTCCTTTTCTCACATTCCTCTCTTCTCTCCTCACATTTATATTTGTTGCTTTTTTGCCATTAGCTTATTCACATTTCCTCTTTCTCTCTCCCCCCGTTAGACACACTCTCTGTGTTTGTGTCATGTCCCCGTATTCCCTCTCCTCCCCCCTCCCCTCTCTCAACCCGCTCTGTCTGTAAGATGATAGCAGCAGTCGGGCCGCTGCCAACTCCAGGGGCCCCTCACGAAAGCTGTTCTCAGATGGGAACACGGGGGGGAAAGAGGAACAAACTGTACTCTGTACCGAGCAAAGAACACGCCTATACTCAGGCGGGTTAAGCCGCATTTGCATACATTAATAACGGTGTTGTAATCGGGGTTCATCGGTCATTTTGCACCACAGAAGTGCGGAAAGCTAGCTCTTGTAAACAATACTTTGTAGACGTAGGCTTGTATTTTTATTAATGGAAATGTTTGATTGCAGTCTGAAAAGTGACTATTTTTACCACCATTAAGTGCATGATGAGTAATGCCTCTAGTGAAGTGTCTTTCTACTTTTATTTTGCTTTACACTGCCTTGTAAGGACAGGCAGTACTTCTCTGTGTAGCCTCTTTGAATGTAATGCTTTGGAGTTGACAGAAGTCTTTCCGTGTAGGAAGGTTGAGTCAAGATCTGTGTATGTAAACAGCTCCGTTAGCTGGAATGGGCTTGCCCTTTTCAGCGCTGCCGGAGGCTTCAGGTCAAATCTCCTTCTTCTCCTTCCTTACGCTGGTTTGTGTTTTGGACGCGGCTTCTACTATGAAATACTTTTGAGACAGTTTCTTTGGGAAGCGAGTTTTGTAATGATGATCATATCATTGTCCCGTCTGTTTTTTGATTGGGTCCAGAGGGTAGCTCAGCAGCTTCTGGCAGGCCTCACGTTGAGATGCTGGCGCTGTGCCCGGGATAGCTAGGGAGCTGTGAGTTGACAAAGGTGGAGTTTGGCCTCTTTGTAGTGTGTCCCTAGGGTTTTATAGCTTTAGTTGCTGGTTTGTGTGTCTCAAAGTAACCTTTCCCCCCCTTGCTTGAATTGCAATATTTGGCAGATTTTGTGTGGTTGCTATACGGTTACTACAATAAACAAACCATGCAGAGTGTTAGAATCAATAAAGTCTGACACACACGCTCAAACCTGTGACAGATCTGCAAACTTGCCTACTGGCCACACACTGGTTTGTTTGTTCTCTTATCATATTGGCTAGTGACCCGAGTGGTTGCTATTTGAACTGGAGGCTTATAAATAGACCTGTGTACTGCTAGAGACCCAACACACTTGTTAACCTGCTCTATGAAAAGGTCGGGAGACACGTACACACAAATGCACACTTCTCGCTGTCAAATGCACGGGTCCACTTTTACTGAAGGATGTTGAGGTGTGTCGTTTGCCTCTCCCTCCTCTTAATGTTTTAACCGCCCTCTTGTGCTTTCCAATCCAATCCAACTTTATTTATATAGCACTTTAAAACCTCCAGACCAAAGTGCTGTACAGGGAGATACATCAAATATAAAATCACTCAGCTCAGCTCACAAAACATACAAATAAGTATAAAAGATACGAACACGAAGCAAACCAGAATAGACGGCATTTAAAAACAGACAGTGTGGGAGCCTGTGTGATTAGCAAGGGCAGGTCGTCCCAGGTCGTTTGCTCGCCTCCTTTCTTTCTCTGCATCAGGATAAGAGATCTTGCTTGCCAGTTTTAAGCCTGTTGTATAACTCTAATCTAGTTGAACCAATACACACTTGCATCCCCTTTTAAGAAGGTGTGCAGGGTGGTGTGTCTACTTCCCACTCGTTTTTCATGCTGCTTTTCTGACTCACTTAAGAGTACTTTTTCTTAATCTCATGGCAACAGAGAGATTCATGTAATGACTCTTAATATACAGAAACACATCATGAAAGGATTAAGCTGTGCACCCTGGGTCAAAAACATTTCCCAATGTATCTCCCAAACATCATCAAAATGGAAGAAGCTGCCAACACACAGTTGGAGTTCACCTGCATCTCTGTTTTAATGAAGCTGTGCATCAAGGCTAAGGAGATGCCAAGTGGAAATTAAAAGAAAAGTGATCAGCTTTGTTCGCTTTTTGAAAGGTGGGAGTTAGAGGTGTTGATAGTCAATACAATGAATAATAACTGTATCTGTATTTCACCTTTCATGCAAGGATGCATTACAAAGTGCTTAGCAGAACAACCAGAACCAAATGCAGATAGGGAGGCGTGTGGCGCAGTGGACTAGTGCGTTGGTGTTCGGATCAGGGGAGCACAGGTTCAAACCCCGCTGCAGTCAGCATGTCGTTGTGTCCCTGAGACACTTCACCCCAAATTGCTTCTGTGGGGATTGCCCACAGTATTGAGTATGTAAGTAGCTTTGGATAAAAGTGTCTAACAAGTGACAATGTAAGATAGAAATACAAATAAAACAGAGTTCGATAACGATACAATAAAACATGTACACTGATACCAGTAAAATGTCCTGAGGACGACATCAAGCAAGCCAACTGTGTCCTTTTCAGTAATGATCGACACAATTTCACTGCAAACGTCCGTGTGGCGATCGTTTCACTGTCACAGTCAACAGAAGGCCAATTCTCCATAGCTAGACAAGTGCAACTTTCCCATTGTTGGTGACTGCACGATGGTTTGATTATGCACAATTAGGCCCGTTCATGCTGTGAATTAGAATAAAAGTATGCGTCATCCTGGTGTCTGAAATCCTCTGGAAACCCTTGCTGTTGGTGATGAATGTCCTGATTTTAAAACGGTTGTTTTTGAAGTTATTAATAATTCCTAGGTTCAAAATGTTAACCTTACCATCTCTCTCTCCTCTTTTCTCTTTCTGTCTCTCTCCGCAGTGCCAGAGCATACTAAGTCAAGACAGAGTCCTAAATCTAAACAACTTCCCCCCCTTCCCCCTCCCCACAAATACACATACACACACAATCGTACACACATACAGTCCTCAGCAATGCCAAGGGGGCACGATCAGCCTGCTGCCCGCTCTGACAAGCCCTGCCTCTTCACCTCAGGCCCTTGAGGGCTGTGCCCTGTGAGCTTTGTCCTTTTGACCTCCCATTGGTCAACCTTGGAACCGGAGGTCAATCGTTCTCCACTCGACCCGGGGCCACGAGCCGCACTCACAGGTAAACTACAAACAAAAAAAAGAACAAACCAAACGCAAGAAAACTGTTTCACACTCGATTAAATCCGACATTCTCAAACACGTACAGAGACACAAGACTACAAAAACAATCTGTCTGCCAATAACACATTCTAGGATAAGCAGGAAGATAGTTGTTCATTTACATGACAATCAAGGTGGGTGTGTTCTGGCTCATGTCTTCTGATGAGTTTCTACTTGTACCTATATTCCCTATAGTTGTAAAAACAAAATAAACTTGTCAGAAAAGTAGCAGATTTCCAATTTGTGTAAGACTACAAAATAACATCCTAACGTGAAAACATAATAATGTTTTAGCATTATAAACCTAAATGTATGGCAGCTATTAGTCTCCTGAGGTTTTTGGAAGTGGTGCAAATGGTTTGGCTTTACCAAATTCAGCTCAGACGAGTCAGAGAAATACACAAACATGAAACAATTACTTGCTAATTTGAAATATTTGTTAATATTGTAATACAGATGATCAACTGTAAATACTGACCTAGTCTCAGCAGGGTCTGTTTACTAATACTCCTCTACTTTGCAAGTCCTTCTAATTTCCAACCCCTCTGACTTTAAACTTGTTTTTCTTTCTGTTTGCTTGATTCCCATTGAATGTCCTGTTCTGTATTGACTTTCTAACATCTCCTCTGTGTGCTTTCTTATGGCTTTCTCTCGAACTCGCTTTAAGTCTGTTTGACAGTCTTTCCTCTCTCTCTGTTTCCAGGCATGGCTCCCATTCGGGATTCCGTCAGCCACTCCCCTAATCAAACAGGTGACTACACATAGCCTTCTTCTTTCCCCGTTCTTTTTGCGCTTCTTCATTCTCCTTCCTCCCAATGTCTTCCTATGGCTCTCTCTGCTTTGTGATCGGCAGACTAGGTAAACCCAGATGCATTTTTCCAGGCTTATCAGAGAAACTGATAGAGAGATGAAAGTGGGTGTGGAAAGGGTGCAAAAGGAGACTTTGCAAGCAAACAAGATAAGCGCAACAGAGATCTGAACAGAAACATACAGGGTGTCCGCGGGGTCTTAAAAAGTATTAAAAGTTGTTCAATCAATTTGGCGAAAATGAAGGCTATTAAAAAGTATTAAACGGCATTTTCCAAGGTATTACATTTTGTAGCTTGTTTTCAATAAGTATATAAATTGTCCGAAGAGGTTGTATTCTATAGTCTGCCTGAATGTAATCATTGCGTAGGTGTGTAGTGTGATTCTGTGTAGTTTATTTATGGCATCCCGTTGGGTTTGACGTCATCTGAACAGGACATCGCACGCTCACTGCTTGATAGCGCGCAAAGCTCCGTTTACTAAACAACATCGTTATGGGGAAATGCAAGTCTGCGTCCAAATGGTTGGAAGATAAGGAGGAAGGACAATCCATACTGTATATAGTCAATGTGAGGTGAAGTGTGTCGCCAAGGTAACCGGTTAGAACTCCAAGTGGCGATGAGGTCTTAAAATGTAGGAAAGGATCTTAAAAAAGGTCTTACATCTGACTTCAGGATTCCTGCATAGACCCTGAGTATTCAAATAAAATGGAGCTGAGCTGCTTTGAGCCTCGTCAGAGCCAATGCCCTGGCCTTGCTGCCCTTTTTTTTTTTTTATCTTCATAGGAAAAGTATGGTAAGGTTGGCTCACAAACTAGCTGATTGCAAAGCTCATGTTTGTTTTCAAGCCATAAAAAAAAAAAAAAAGACCAAATAGTTTTTAAGACATCCTCCTTTACAAATATTGCTTTAAAAATCTATTTAGTCTCTTTATCTTAGTCTTGCACATTAATAATAATTCCTTCACATTAAACCAGTATCCTTGTAAAAATGTTCATTCATTAATTACCACAGCGAATGGGCTCCCACTGCACAAATGCAGTTTGAGTTACGAAGATGCGGCAAATAATGAAGGCACTAATAATGGAGGGCCGCTGAAGCTCTGAAAATGCAGGCACTTGAGTCAGAACTGAGTGTGTTCATAATGGCCCTGAAAGCAAAATCACAAGTAGCAGATCACAAGTGTTCTCTGGAGTCTAATTTTAGAGACATGCCGAGTCTGAATGCACATGCTCTCAGACAGTGGTATTGTATCAGGAAAAATATCAAGGATTAAACAGAGTTAATTTCAGCTGGTGTCACTTCCTCCTGCTATTTCACTCACAATTGCCATCTCCCCTCTCCCGCTGATGGTTGTCGGCTGCCCTCCCTGGATCCTAGTTTATAGCTTTGGCATGCTTCTGGGTCCCGCTGTGGTGACAAAATGGTGGCAGCTGTGTCCAGGCTCAGCCCTGGCACTGATCAAATCCAGAACAGTTGGGTCTCTGAAAGTTTGAGGAAATAGAAAAATGACAGCCACTGTGAATGAGGCGAATTTCGAACCACATCGGTTGTTTCATTTAATAAAAGTACATTTTACTATCCCAACATTTTATTGACCGTGATGAATCTGCACCTTTGGTAATTGCTTGATTTTGATTTGAAATGTTTTTCTAACCCTATCCCCTGCCATGTCCACCCTTCCTCTCTGCAGGTCTGGAGCACCCTGGCTTGGACTCGCAGTATGAGCCTTCCCCCTGGTCCTCTGGCTCTCCCTGCAGCGGTGACGGCAACACCAACTGGGGCAAAGTCCTAGTGGACGGAAGCACCGACAAACCCAACAACCCTTCTTCAACCAACTCTTCCGTCTGGCCTCCGTCTTCTTCCTCGTTCTCTTGCTCCTCGTCTTCTTCCTCTTCTGGCTGTGGGTCAGGATCGGACCCAGAGTTGGCGTCAGAATGCATGGACGCAGATTCTAGCTCCTCGATCGGCTCGGAGAAAAACCTCGCCGCTGTGACGACAGTGATGATGATGTCAGCAAATGCTCCTTCCTCTGTGTCTTCTACAGCTTCTTCTCCCTCCTCTATGGTGACTTCCGACATGATGGTCGGCGTTTCGGTGAACGGAGACAGCAACGGCAACAGTCGTCAGATAATCGGCGGAGGGATGGGAGGCATCGGCGGTGCAAATAACGGAAATAATAACCTCACCGGGTCCTCCCACTACTCCGCGGCTGGGTCCAGCAGTATTGGCAGCAATAACATGGGCAACCACAACAAGCCCGTCAATAACAGTGGTGTCTGGGGCAGCAACATGATCTCTGGAGGAAGCACCCCCTGCATCAATGGAGGGTTGAACCCAAACACTTTAAACCCAAATGCCAACCACGGTGCCTGGCCACAGAATCCAAGCCCAGTGTCCCAGGGCCAAAGGGCTCCTCAGGCTCAGGGGATGAAACTGGGTATAGCTCCCCAGCAGGGCCCCATTCTTGGCTGGGGCGGCATGGCAGCTCCCAACAACAGCAGTATGATGGAAGACACCGAGGCGAATAATGGTACAGCAAGCAGCAAGGTGTTAGGAAGCAGCAACAGTGCAAATGGTGGCCTACAGCCGACCAACCTTAACACTGAATCCAATGGACCAAATAACACTATGATGAATACTACTACTACTACTACTAACGCCACAATGACCTCTAGTCCACCAAACTCTACAGCCTCACCCCAACTCAGCGGGGATTGTTCCTGGGGCTCTATTGGAGGAGGGAACGTGGGTCCGCTGGCGAATGGAAACCCCATATCAGCCACCCAGCACCCCAAAGGAGAGCTGGGAGGTCCTGGGACCTTCGGTACGCCTTGGGGCGCAACTACCTACCCTGGTGAAAAGGGCTCCCTAAATGCAGACACTGTGAACCCACAAAACCCTGCCTTAATGCAGGCCGGGAACCCCCAAATATCCTCTACTGCTGCTTACAAGAGTAATAATAACCACAATAACACTGGGGCCCCACACTGGGACCAGGGGCCTGCCAATAACCCAAACCAGCCTCAGAGCAACTCCTGGGGTAATCAAATCCAAGGCTCTGCAGGCCAAACGCCAGGAAATGGGAACCAAACTACGATGGGCCCTCCAGCAGGGATACCCCGGCCCTGGGGGAGCAGCGCGTCTTCTTCCTCTTCCTCATCGTCCTCTACCACATCCAACAACAAGATGCCGAATGGAGAATGGGGAACGACAGCTCCTGGTATCAACCAATCAGATGCTGGAAGTCATAAAGGAAGCTCTGCCAACAATGGCTGGAAGAGCTTGGAGGATGACGCCATGGGAGTAGGAGTAGGAGGAGGAGGAGGAGGGGGAGGAGGAGTGGGAGGAGGAGTAGGAGGGGGAGTAGGAGTAGGAGGAAGTCACGCCTTAGGGAGCGTCACTGGAGGCTGGGGCCGCACTGGAGGAAGTGAGGGAAGTGGAGAGAGCTCCGGAGGCCGATCCAGCGCCGACAGAGACCAGTCAAAAGGGGGAATCCACAGAACGGTTATCCCTCCTGATCCAGTAGTATCGGCTGTGCCCCCGGTCGACGTGGACCCGAGAGTCCTTTCCAACACTGGATGGGGACAGACACCCGTTCGACAGAACACCTCCTGGGATGTCAACTCTCCCGTTAATAGACAAGTTCCTAGAGGTGACGAAAGAAAGCAAAGCAGCGGAGGCCCCGGATGGGGCACAGCAACACCGGCAGCTCCCTCCCAGACCTCCGGAGGTAGGAAAATCATGATAATTAAACTTTTGTGTGGATATATTTTATAGATCTTAATAAACATTAAAGTAAGACCACAATTACACACAAAAAAGTCGGCAAAAGATTGACTTCCCTTTTGGTTTGCTTGCAGGTTGGGGTGGTGGGCCGGGCAACTCAGGTCCAGGTCCAGGAGGCTCTGGCTGGGGCGAGCGACAAAACTCAAGTTGGGACAATAAAGCCCCAGCAAACGGAGGAGGTGGGCAGAGCAGCTGGAACGATGGATCCGGCTACAAGGGTGGCAACAACAACAGTAACACTTGGAGCAATAACACCAACAAAGACGACAGGTAATTGATGATTGGACATTTCCGAAATACTGATTTTAACAACACAGTAATATAGTTTGAAGCAAGTTTAATGTGACGCCTAATTGAGTAACTGATCTTTTTGTATTTATTTGTTAGATCCAATACCTGGACTAATGCGCCCAAACCGCAGCAGCAAGGCTGGGGTTCGCAGAGTGGACATGGAAGGGAGGGCTGGGGTCACGGTGGAGATGGACCCAGAGCAGGGGGCAACAACCACTGGGAGGGGCGGGAGAGGGATAGCGACAGCAACCGCTCAGGCTCCGGATGTTGGAGCGAGCAGAGCCGAACCAACACCAGCAGCGGCGGCGGCAACACCTGGGCGGGCGGCGGAGGATCAAATACTCCAGAACGGAGCACTCTGAACCCAGGCTCCAACTGGAGCGACTCAAACCCTCAGAAACCCAACCCTCAGGGTCACAGCCAGGGCTGGGTCGAGCCCACAAAGAACAACCAGAACTGGGGTGAGCAAAATCCAAAGCCCTCCAACGAGTGGGGGAAAGCTCCTGAAGCCAACATGTCCCGAGGCAATCCACCCCCCACCAAGCCCGCAGGTACTTATCTTGAGTATTCATCCGATCAGAATCTCTTTTTTAAATCAAGAATCCTATCTTTTTGTTTATAAGCAAGTCTAAATATACCTGTGTTTAGTTTATGTATAGTTTACGGACCTTTCACGTGATACAATGTAAGTTAATACTAAATGGACAACAACATTTAAAGAAGACTGAAATGTTGAGATTTACATTTGAGAAATGCATACTATGTTAAAACTAATCTTTAGAAAAGGCCATAGGGCACCAAAACAGAATTGGTAAGTGGGAGGATACGCAGCTGATGGCTCACTTTTTGTGTTTTCTTCCATCAGGCTGGCAAGGAGGCCCAATTCCCACAGCAGTTCAGAAGGAGGAAACTTCATCTGGGTGGGAAGAGCCTTCTCCTGAGTCTGTTCGCAGAAGGAATGAGATCGATGATGGGACAGCAGCTTGGGGAGAACCAGGTAAACACTGAGCACACTAGGAATCCCTTCAAAAACTGCTTTTCAGAGTCTAAATCATTTCAAACTCGAACCTCTTATTGACTTGATTTAACTCTCTTCCCAGCCGCTAAACATGGCGTTGGAGCTGGCAACATGTGGAGCAAGACCAGACAATCAGAGCATGAGGCTGCGAGTCAGCCCCCTCAGCACCAGCCCCACCCGCCTCGCAGCGTCATGCATCCTCCTCCGCCCGTGCAGCCTATGGCCCAGGACAAAAGCTGTAATAGTAAGTTTAATCAATCAATCAATCAATGTTTATTTATATAGCCCAATATCACAAATGTTACATTTGTCTCAGTGGACTTCACAGTTTGTACAGAATATCAGTATGACAATACGACACCCTCTGTCCTTAGACCCTCTGTCCTTAGACCCTCACATCGTACAAGGAAACACTTCCAGAGAAAACCCACGGTTTAAAGGGGAACATGGGAGAAACCTCAGGGAGAGCAACAGAGGAGGGATCCCTCTCCCAGGACGGACAGACGTGCTATAGATGCCGTGTGTAAATCAAAGAGATAATACATTTACAACATAGGTAGTCCAAATGTTTGGAAATGCATGTGTCTATAATAAGAAGATGAATCCACGAGGATGTCAGCAATCTTGTGGGAGCCATCAGGGAAGTAGTATGGTGAGAGTCAGGCAGGACCGCAGAGACAGGTTCAGCCACGACTCGAAGTCCAGGACTCAGGATCCAGTGCTCAGGATAGAGGACCCAGGACACACGAGTTCAGGACCTAGGACTCGGGACTTAGGGACTAAGCACCCGGAACCAGCGGGAGAGACGACGGAGCCAACGACTCAGGACCTAGGACTGCAGACCTAGACTCAGGACCTAGGACATTCAGTGACACCAGGACCTCAGGACCTAGGACTCGGGACGCTAGGACTCAGACACCGACA